GCTCCTGGCCATACTACTAGGAGCAAGAAGCTACTAGGGGCTCCTGGATACTACTAGGAGCAAGAAGCTACTAAGGGCTCCTGGCCATACTACTAGCAACAAGAGGATGCAAATACCTTTGCCAGTGCGACTTCCGGAGCTTGGCTCTAGGGACCATGATGTAGTCTGCGGTGGCGGCTTGTGGCAATGGCCCGGAGCACGTCCCGAAGCAGGTCTCGACGCAAACGCAGCCGGTCCGGAAGGAAAACTGACCGCAGTCGCTCAAAGACCCGCAGGTCCAAATCAAGAGATAGGAGGAATGGGAAGAATCGCAGGTCTTCAGAAAGTGCATCTCGAGCACGGTCACCCTCGCCAAAGCGGCGTGCAGCACCATCTCGATCAAAATCTCGGAGAGCTGCTCGAAAGCAGCGGTCCAAAACTCCCGAGCGGGTGCCGCCAACGAGTTTTGCAGACTATGAGCCGTCTCCGGATGGAAGTGGATGGTATGTGTACAAAAAAACCAGCAAATGGAAATTTCATCCAGAAACTGGGCTCTACCTGCACATCAAAAGTGGTGTGTATTACATTCAAAAGGAGGGGGATCCCAAGAATTTCCGAAAGATTGATGATGATGACGACCCGATCGTGAGGAAGATGAAGCAGTCTGAAGAAATGCGAAAGGCCATTCAGTCCACAGAATTTGTTCAGTTTGGTGAGGGTGCCGCTGCAGCTGCCAAAGCAAGCGCAGAGGATGGAGCACCAGCTCCAGTGGAGATTGCGCCCGCTCCACGGCCACCCGAGAAGGAGAAAAACTCAGAGCCAGAAAGTGAGAAGAAGGTAGAGGGGAAGGTCAGAGAGTGGAATGCAGAGAAAGGTTTCGGCTTTATCATTCCCCTGATCAAGGAGGATGAAGAAACTCCAAAAAGCATTTTTGTGCATCTTTGGAACGTGGTCGGCAGCACCAGCAAAAATCCAATAAACTTAAGAGAAGGGGCACGGGTGCTTTACAAACTTGGAGAGCAAGATGGTAAACCTCGTGCCCAAGAAGTTGTTATGCTAGGCAAGGACGGAAAGCCATTGCCTGTGCATGCTGGGGCACAAAATTTAGAAGAAAAAAGAAAAAGCTATTTTGTTACTGCAGATACTCTGGGTGTCCGAGTTCATGCTGAAAGCTGGCCGGGGAAGCAAATTGAGTTGCAGGACAGGTTCACACAAGATGAGGCGATGGATGAACTGGGTGTTTACTTCGGGGTCTTTGATGGCCACGGTGGAGCTCAAGTGTCAGAACTGGCAGCGAGGAACCTGCACAGAAATATCCTGGCCTTTTTTCGCCAGAAAGCAGTTCAGCCTGCATCCAGGGATGAGAAGTTAAAGATGGCTGTGAGAGAAGCCTTCTCTCACACAGACAAGGAGATCTTGGGGTTGTCAGAGCGGAAGAAGTTTGATTCTGCAGGGTCAACCGCTGTTTGCGCAATGCTGCATGGAAATCCAAAGCTCGGAACAGCGCTACGATTAGAACCTTTGTTGCAACAAAATGACTTGATTTGGGCCTTGCATCCTGTCCATTTTGTTTGATGTTTTAACGTTTAATTCCCCTTCATTCTGCACGAGGGAGAGAGAGAGAGAGAGGGAGAGAGAGAGAGAGGGAGAGTGTATATTAATATTGTGAAAAGCCCGGTAGGCTGCGTGATGCACTCCTTACTACTGTACGATGAACTCATTTCTCTCCTTTCTGACATGTGTGTGTGTGTGTGGGCACGGACCATCCTGACCACTTAGCTGGTAGCATGTGCCACTCGTGGCAATTATTGGGTTGAGTTTGTTTGAAGCAGACACTGGTACACGTTCATGAAAATGGACCGTGGCTGGCCAAGGGGTCGATCCCAAGGTGCTTCACATGTCAAGCTCCCCCAGACCAAGGAGTTGTCAAAGATCTTTTCGCATGGTTTCTTTTCACTCACTAGGTCACTGGGGGACCATGACTCATGACACTATGCGCCGTTCGCTTGCACGCACACACACACAGACACATACATATTTTTTGCCCACCAGCCTACGTTCCCATGTAGGCATTGTGCTGCATGACATAACGCATTGCCCTTGCAATACGGACTCAATACTTTTAAGTCCTGGATGAGTGCCGGTAGTGTGGCCTGTGCACAATGGCAACATCAAGATGCACTGACATTGCATCAGATCCATGCTAAAAGAAATTATATACCGCAGCAGAGTTTTCCATTTTTTCGGACATTGCCTGGCATCGCGCAAACGCATCCATTGACAGTCGCAAAGAACCCCAAAACCCTGTGGCTATTTACAATCCTTTGAAGAGGAACCTCCCAGCCGTCACTGTAGAGTTTGAGCATTCAAACACCTCCAGACAACAAGAGAGATCAAGAAACTGTGCACAGAAAACAAGCGCACGTTTTCAACATGTCACGATCACGCAGGCCATAGCTGCTTGAAAAGCCCAAACGGCTCCAATCTGAGGGGGGCATGCGCGTTGCAACCACAACTCCAAGTCAAAGCGACGAGTTTTGCTTGTGCAGTGCCATGTTTAGTTACTTCATGTGCTGCGTGCATCGACATTCATGCCACATGCATGGGTGAAGACCACGGAAACTTTAATGTTCCAGCTGTCAAGTGCCACTTGACATTTGCCTAAGGTGCTGGCCCATGTTGGGGATTCCAGGGCAATTCTTTGCAGAGCTGGACAGGCAGTTCAAGTGACAGAGGACCACAAGCCAGACAGAATAGACGAGAAGAAGCGTATTGAAAGGGCAGGAGGCCTGGTTTTGAATGTGCGAGGGGCTTGGCGAATTGCTGCCCCCGCTAACCCTCGAGGCTCGACGAAGTCTTCCCGCCGTGAGTACCAAGGCCTGTCCATTACACGCTCCTTGGGAGATGCTTGCTTCAAGAATCCGGCGTTGTCCGCAGCAGATCCTGAAGTTCGAGTTCTTCCCATTACAGACAAAGACCTTTTCGTAGTTTTGGTGACGGAGGGCGTTACTCGTGTCCTCTCCAATCAAGATGTCGTCGATTGTGCTAGCAAGCACTGGGACGATCCTGAAGAGGCAGCCAAGAATGTCGTCCGCACAGCATTTCAGAAGGGCAGCGATGAGAATCTCACAGCTCTTGTGGTGCAGTTCGGGTGGGCTGACAAGCACACCCCCAGATATATAGAGAGAAGACGTCAAATGGTTGCGCAGGGCGTGGAGGGTGGGAGCCCAGTGATGAAGCCAGCAGCAGCCAAAGAGATCAAAGAAATATATACCGACAAGGCAGTGGAGAAGGATGATTTTGACATGTTCGGCTAAGGACTCTTTCAGTTCACGTGCTATCAACATGCTGTGTTAGTTATTTTTTCACTCCCGCATTGTCAAAAGTTCTCACATTGAAGCTCTGCGATTTGTGCTGTCAGCGCGCAGGAGCTGACGCGGGGTCCATCAAGACTCCTGGCCACAAGTGAGCGCTGGCAGAGAGTGGACAGTGCATTCGTGTCAAACACACACAGAACAAAACCATGAGGAAATACCAACCGTATCGTTTTGCGCCATTCTGAAGATCCAACAGCTATATAAGTACCACAAGCCAAGCCTCAGTACGAGTTATATAACAGCTGCAAGTATGGCCTATGTGGAAGCACACACTCAAAACTTAGAATGTGCACGGACCAGTGTGCATCCGCACAAACTGGGTGCAAGAATGCCCCAGCTGATGAAAACGAAGCTGTTTTTGATGCTGCAATGTTGGTAGTTCTTTGGCACTTTCTGTTGTCAAAAACCATGTTACAGGCTGAGACGGTCAGCATCTTGATTTTCCTTCCGTTCCAATTTTGGACTGCCATTCCGCCGCCTGTGGTCTATTGGCAGCTGGCTTCAAGGAACCTCCGCCAATTCCTAAGCCTCCCAAAAATGAGGCGTGTGATTAGATTGTTCACTTAGCCTGGTCGCAAAGTGTTGACTTTAAAGTTGGAACGTGTTTAATTAAACTTAATGAAAGCCAATGGGAGCTTTGGTTTTCTGACATTTCTAAAGCCGTGTGATTCGCGAGGCATGGCTCGAAGCCCGAGCAGCCGAGCAAGGCCAGTTTCAACCTTCCATTGGGCTAGATGTTCCATGGGAGGTGATTCAATGGGCCAACAGGAGATAGACATGGAATATCATGGAATATTCATACCTCTATGACTCTATGATACTGCAAGACCATGTCATAGACCACCACAATATGGTACTAGATAAACTCCTTCAGAAATATGGCGAGCGGCCATTGCCCTAATACAAAGCAACTGTTGCTCTCAGGGTGCCAGGTCCCAAAAAAGAACTTTTTGCAGGTTTGGCGACTTGCTGTGGTGCAAGTTCAATGTTTTCCTGGATCCTTGCCCTGCTTGGCATGTCCATGCCTGCATTGAGGGAAGGAAAGCGGCGAAGGTCGAAAGCTCAGAGTGTGAATTAGACGCACCGTGGATTCGGTAGATTTCAAAAGAAACAGCTGCGCGCCTCGAACCTATGACCCGAGAACAAGGACTTGGAGGGTATCGTTTTGGTTCCCACCGAGTTCAGTCTTGAACTTTGTCCCACCTTAGCTGAGAGGTGTCACCAGGTGTCTGTGGTTCACCATATGCGATTTGTGTTTGATCATGTTGAGTCCGGCCGTCTTGTCCTCCCAATGTTCCTTGTGCCGCACTTACCTAGGCTGCAGGGTAGTCACTTGCGCTTCTATTTCGCAAACGCTTCGGCCGATCTCCGTACGGACGGACTCAGCAAAGCAGAGTCATATTCGACACTTGTGCTTCTATTAAACCAAGTGCAGCCCCCTCCTTCTCCTTGACAGCTCCCAACGACAAATCATTTAGCCTGCTCTCCATAGGATTCATTGCGCTGTGAGCCTTAGGTCAAAGAGGTCTAAAAGCTGCGAGGACTTCCGTTCATTTTTCAGTGGGCCATTTCATCTCTTTAGAGTCTAGGAGAGAAAGAGCTTACAAAGGGAGGTCCAAGCCAAGCGAATAGAGCGGGAGGCCTTTGCAAGTGTTGATTGCACTGCTGGAACTTGATTGTCGTGCTGCCAAGAGCATGTAGCATCCAGTTTCAAGGTCCTGGCTTGACTTGACTTATATACATGCATTTTGTGAAGCGCAGGCATAGATGTGTTTGTGTTTCTATATTCTCTATTTGGCGCCTCGCTATTTTGCAGGTCCAAGTGCGCACAGATGATTACTCGCTCAGTGGATAGATACTGTAGATAGGCATCCTTCTATGTCTATACTGTAATGGTTTCTGTTTGGATCCGCCAACATGATAAGTAGATGTGCATAGATGTGTGTAGCGTGTAGATAGTAGGTCGATGGATTGCCCGTTGGACGAATGGTTGGGTGGATTGGTGGCTGGACTTTCGTCTCCTCCCTTCTCAGGTTGAGTTTGTTGAGCTGTTGCAGGTTTCTCGGACCTTGCGCAATGGCAATAGGTTCCCGCAGCTTTTCACGAGCTCCTAAGGAGGTCGGCTGAAGTTTTCGTTTACAAGGGGCGGCTCAGAATTGATAAGAACCGAATTGATATATGATATATCATTACGAAAGACCCCACCCCTCCACTTTGCGTGATAGAATCGATTGGGACCACCCCGCCGCTCCCCTCCTCAACGAATTGAGAGCGTATTGATTAGCCCTTCTCCCCATCCATGCGGCGAATCTGGTCAATGTTCTCCCTCATTCATGTTCTCCGCTTCTGCCTGGGTTGGTTTGTACGGTTTGTCTTCTGCAAAACGTGGATCCTAATTACAGTATATACATCCAACCAATACAGCCGGGCTTCCTTGGCTTCTTCTCCATGGGAGGAGCATTGGCAACGTCATCACGAGCTTCCATCTTGCCCGACGGTAAGTTCCAAGCGTCAGCATGCATCTCTCTTGACAGAAAGTGCGATGCCGTTTGCGGTTCTTGTTGGCGTTTTGGTCCTTGGTCATGGTGAGGCGTTGGCTGGTCAGAAGGAAATGCACCTGCTTCATCATCAAAAGTCTCCATCACAGAATCAACTGCAGGATCATCAGCTGTTTCCTCTTCCATGTCCTCGTTTGGAACAGCCAATTCACGTGGAGGATCAACTTGAATACAGTAGTGGCAATCCTTTTGGCAACGCGCTTTAATCTAGGGAGCAGCTGAATCTTTGGCCCCTCTTCTGCAATCTGTCGAAGTTCAGTGTCTACCAAGTCCTCAAAAATGTTCTGATGCTCGCTGTTCTTAAGAGTATTTGACTTCTTCCTTGTCGATGCTGGCCTTCAAAAAAAGGAGTGTTGTCATCATCAAAGCTGATTCCCATTCACTGGCAATGTTCTCTGAAGTGTGATGTTCTTCTTCAGGAGTTCTGACTTCGTCACCTTCCTGGCTGATGGCACTCAGAAAAGTCAATGTACATTGCCTCTCAAGTTCATCCTTCATGATGAGCTTATACAGGATCTGAAACCTTTGCCTTGGACTAAAACAGTCCTTCAGCTTCAACAAGGCATGCTGAACAGACTAGCAGTCAGGATAATATGTGAACTGTCCACAATGTGTGCGACTTGAGTTGATGATTGTGAAAGACTGAGTGAGGTATCGATGCCAGATTCCCTTCATGTGCGGCCATTGCGGCCCGAATCCCCTCGGCCTTTGTACCAGGCCTTCAGCCATAGCTACGCTTCTCGGAAAACGTTCGATTGACTTTGCTCGACCCCGCAGTTCGTGTGTTGTCATAGAGCGGCCATCCACAGTGGTGACGCGGAGCTCTTGTTGCGATCCTGGCCTTTGCTTTTAGCCCGTCACTTCGTGCCTTGGACCTGACTCGAGACCTTGGAATTTTCAGCAAGCGTTGATTCTTTTCTTGACTTCGGGCCCGGTCCTTCGTTTCGACCTCGCCGGAAGATCCGGCGGCTTTCACCCTTGAGCTACTACACCACCACCTTAGACAAGCTGTCCCTCGAAGAGGCCTTAGATGGCGACTGGTGGTGGCGACGAGAAGGGAGCGTGGTACCAAGTGCCGACTTGGGATGGGTCGCCATTGACATGGCGATCATTTAGAAGGGAGATGACTTGGTGGGTCAGCAGCTTGGACTTGCAGGCCACGGCCAAGTATAACTTGGCTGCTCGCTGGCTCCTCAGACAGACCGGCATCGTTCGCCAGCGTGGGGAAGAGTTCAATCCCGATGAACTGCAATTCAAGCCCGCTGAAACCTACACCGACCCTGTTTCTGGCGAATCTGTTGAGGTGACCCCTGCAGACTATTTGTTTGGGTTGAACAAATTGCTCACCGCCCTTGAAGCAATCAACGGACAGAGTTTGTTGGATAAGCGTGGTGAGCTTCGCAACTTGTTCTACTTGGAGTTGAAGCGGTCTCCCAATGAGCGTGTTGCTGAGTTTTGCACCCGCTTCAGGACCTTGGCTGCCGACCTCAGTGCAGAGGGAGTTTCGATTCAGAGCACTGAACTCGGCTGGTTCCTTCGCCAGAAGCTTGGCCTTGATAGTCTGCGTCAACAGCTTCTTGAAACTGCCCTTGGCGGCCGCGAGGAGTACAATGTCGTGGAGGCTGAATGCTTGCGCCTTTTTAAGGACCTACATCACAACGATCCTCTTCGCCGCTTTGACCGACAAGGAGACCGTCCGAAGTTGACGATTCGACGGCTGTTTCAATCGCAATCCCAAAAGGGACCATCGTCTTCGGCATCCACTATTAGCCGATCACCGTCTATGTTTTCGGCGGCGACTTCGGCACGCTCTTCGAACTCTACCAGCACGAGACGTGCCTATGTGACTGAGACTGATGATGGTCATGATCAGTCGCATGAAGAGGTTTTGGAGACCGTGGCCGAGGAAGACCATGCCGTTGAGCAAGCGGCTGATCCGACCTTGGAGGAGGTCATCCAGAGCGAAGCTGAGTGTTTGGCCACTGAACTTCAGGAGGCCGAAGAGCAGGGCATCGATCCAGGTGTCCTAGAGGAAATGGAGTCTTCGTTTGAGCAGGCCGCTGAGGCCCTTGTCACGATGAAGGAGGCGAAAAGCCGCTTGCAGGAGGTTCGCAAGGACCGTGGCTTCGGTCGAGCTGGAGCAGTTGGAGGTGGACGGCAAAACGCCGGAGTTCCAGCGGCCAGAAAGGCCTCAGGGAAGCATCCATGCTTCGATTGCAATCAGCATGGTCACTGGGCTGGCGACAAGGAGTGCCCTAAGCCTGGTGCAGGTCTTGGCCGAAAGGGCCCTCCAGCTGCCGCGAAAGCAAAAACGCGGCAAGTTCGTGTGACCGAAGCCTTCCAAGCTGAGCATGTCGTTGTTCCTGAACCCCTTGCACCTTCACCATCGAGTACATCCACACCTTTGGAAAACCCTGGGTCCCCTCACGAGGTCAACATGGTTTTGCGCGGGAGTTCAACCATGCCCTTGGGTCAAGCCTTTGAGCAGTCGTTGGCGAATGCCTTGAACTCCACCCTCGTTTCGACCGCCGCACAGGACTTGCCGAACGAGAAGCACCATGTTGGGGCCCTAGATAGCGCGTGCAATCGCAGTTGCGCTGGACCGACTTGGCTGCAGAGCTATGTCTCCCAGCTTGAGAGTGCACCACCGTTCATTCGTGCTTTACTTCACCATGTCTCCGAATCGGAGCGATTCAAGTTCGGCAACGGAGGTGTGGCCATCAGCACCAAGAGATGGCGACTTCCGGCATGCGTCGGAGGCCACGTGTTTTTGGTTTGGATCAATGAGGTCCCCATTCCTTCGTTGGGTTGTTTACTCGGTCGCGATGTGTTGGATGCCCTCGGAGCTGTCTTGAACTTTGGCCAGCGCACCTTGCAGTGCACTTCATTGTTTGATGACTCCCAAAGGTTGGAACTCAAGCAGATGGCAGCCGGGCACTTCATGCTGGAGCTCCTGCCAGAGTCTTGGCCAAGGCTCGGCCCCGTGAAGTGGCGTCGATGCGGCCTTGATGGAGTGCTCGAGTTGCAGTTGACCCCAAGATCATGGCTAGAGCGAAGAGTTGCTGAGGGTTCGTTTGTTTTCCAGACAAGCCATGATCACCTTTTGACCGAAACCAGTATCGAAGCCGGGAAGGGTTCTTTGCAGTGGCATGAGTCATGTTTGGTTTCTTTGTTGCCCTCATTGGCTCGAAGCACGATGTTTGACTTCGCATTGTCACTTCATCGACGCCTTCTCGGACTACCAGAGCGACTACTTGCAGAACGACCTACTCATTCAGTTCGCTTCAAGAGCTCACTTGCGCTATTTGCCTTTTCCATATCCCTCGGTTTGCTCAGTGGAGCAATGGCTTCTCCAGGCACAGTCAATGATCAACATGAAGACTATGAGCCGGCGGCACCACTTCATTGCCCTCGAGACCGGTGGCTACACTGTGGAGCACCTGTTGGAGCTCGGGAGGTTGAGAGACCGATGTGGCTGGAAGATGGCATTTGTGGAGGACAGTCTCTTGGCTGGATTTCTTGCTGCCCGGAGCCAGAAGGGTCAGCGGGAGAAGCTTCGTGCCGCTGCCTTGGAGGAGACAAAGCAGAAGATCGCCAAGGAGTCGGCCGAGATGGATCGCGAGATCATGGCTCGCCAGTTGCTTGGACCAAGAGGTGGTTTGCCGACCTTGCGAAGCGACTTGGTCAAGTTGGCGCTCTTGCTCAATTTGACCCCTGGACCAAAGGAGACGGTGGCTCAGCTGCAAGGCCGCATCCGCCCACTCGTGGACATCTTGAAGAACAAGAACCCTCCGTTGCATTCGACGCCCTTGGAGGTGCCTCGTGCAGATCCTCTCCATCATGTGACGCCCACGTCGTCCTCATGGTCAGTCGTGTCCGGAATGGAGGCGCCGAAGGCGGCAATGGAGCGGAAGCAGGAGGGATGTCCAATGCCCTCCGAACTTCGCCAGATGGAACTTCGTGTCCAGGAGATGATGAAGGCCCAGGACGCTCGCTTTCAAGCCATGTTGGGTCAAGTGCTGCAAGCCGTGAGCCAGGGGCCTCCTCTGTCAGCAAGCGCGGGAGCTTTTCCGGCGCCATCC